TTGGAGTTCTCTGCCGTCGAGTAGTAGTAACGAGTCCTTGTCAAGGACTCCTGCTCTTATTGTGTTTTTTAACACAGTGTTGCTTGGGTGTCCCATCCTTGCGTGCCAGGTGCTTTCGTCGGCGCGATGTCCGGGTGATCGTCGGTACATATCGGAGTTGGAATAGAAGTTGGTGGTGAAGTTTGCGCTACGATGAACTTCTCGTGGTGCTGGGTGGAGCTGTTGTGCTGGTGTTGGTGGTGTTTCGTCAGCGAGGACTGGTGTCGTTGTTGCTGCTACTTTTGTTGTTCCTGCTACTGCCGATGATGTCTCTGCTGGTGCCGATGATGTCTCTGCTGCTGCCGATGTTGTCTCTGCTGCTGCCGATGATGTCTCTGCTGCTGTCGATGTTGTCTCTGCTGCTGCCGAATGTTGTATTGTTACTAACGCGCGTGTTCGTTCTGCTTCAGGAATGGTATGTGAATACCAAAAGCCTTCCGGACTGAAGTCTGGATCAAGGTCTGGAGGATGTGTCCAGTCGGTGAAATTAACGATGGCGTCGCTGTCGGCGGTGCCAAGGTCAGGGACAAAATCGAGGACGAAGACGTTGTTCTTGAGGACCGCCTTGCCGATGTAGAGACCTCCTCTCCCGTGATACAACTTGAATTCTTGGGTGGTGCTGTCTGCTCCGAGATGTATGCCTTTCGCCATCAGCTGACTGACGCTCAGTAAGTTGTAGCCGAGTCCCTCCGCGATTAGTACTTTTGACATCTATAGTATAACATTTGTTTCTCGTGACTGAAGTTGCACAATCCCTTCTCGTCGTGTGCGCAGGTTCTGGTTATTGGCGACTGTGATGACGACCTCTCGTTGAAGTCGGTGCTCGCGTTGAACGAAGAGTCCCGAGGAGCTCATGTGCTGTCCGCAGCAACTGTCCAAGAACCATGTGTCTTTCCCGGACGGTTCGCTTTGAGCGATGGCGGCGTACGTCGGGTTCGGTTGAACTGACTCGCGGCGAGGCGTGCTGTTGTCGAGTTGTTCTTCTGGTGAGTAATATGGTGGTGACTCAATTACGCAGGAGTCGCTGAGCCTTGCCATGCAGCTGATGATGTTTCTTGTTTCTTTCGCAGGTTGTCCCGTCGATGTTGTTGAGACTTGTACCGAAGTTGTCGGATTTGCTTGCGTTGAGGCGACTTGACTGCTTGAAGGGCGAAGTTGGCGTTGTGGCGACGTTGACTGTTGTCGATTCGGGCAGTGCGTACGAGGATGCCTTGAAGTCTTGCAGAGGTGGCAGAACGGAGGTACGATTTTCGGTCGACTGTTGTTGTTGTTGTGGCGCCGTTGAGTGTGAAACGCGAATTCGGGTACTGATACCTTTCTCTTGTGTTGTTCTTCTTGCAGGTCCATGTCTTGCTGCTCAGCATGGATTTCGGCACAGAGTGCTGCTTCGGAGATTCTCCCGTGTGCTCGTAGTATGGCGCGAGTGGAGCGCCAGTGAGGACCAAGACCGCCGATGACAACCGTGACGAAGGCGTCTTCTGAAATCGATCCTCCACATCGAAGAAGCTTGTCGCGCAGCTCGCGAGAGCGACTAATATACGCCATTCCCTTCTCGCCTGCTTTCATTTCGATTGTTGTCAGCTGCGCCATTAACCGACTTTAGTTTACGCTGTCTCTTGCTTGATACAGGTTCTTCAAGTGATTCTACGCGAGCTCCGCGGAGTTGCCATAACCTCGGTAAGTCCTTATGTTCTGCTGTTGAGTCGGGGTGATGTTCCTCAGTAGTATTACGCCATCATCAATTGATAGGTGTACTGCTGCTTCTCATACTGTGTGCCGTTTGTCGGGTATGGCAGGGACCCGTCGAAGAAGCCAAGGATTTGCGCTCCTTCCATCATCAGCTCGAATTCGAACGACCAGGTAAAGAAGTCCTTCCCGTCGAAAGGTTTTGTCGTTTGCAGTTTTAAAACGTGCGCGAACTGCGACTGAACTTGTAGTGCGTCCAGCGTTCTTTCTTGTCCCGGTGCAGGTTGTGGTTGTGGCATGAAGCTGACGAAGCCGCGCTGGGGCTCGTACGGAGTGAAGGTAGGTTGTTGTTGTTGATTCCCGCGTGCGTAGGATGAGCCATCGAGACTCATGGGTGTCACGTTGTTGTTGTTGTTGCTGTTGTTTGATTGCGCAAGTACTCCTTCCTGATGCTGCTCGTAGAAGGACATGAAGGAGAAGAATTTCTCCATCATGCTTGGATCGAAGCCCGCGCCTTGGTTTGCGGGTGTTTCAGTAGACCCAGCGGCCGATCTCGTTGTTGTGCCTTCCTCTGTCTGTAGGCCAGAGGCAGGAGGTGGAGTAGGAGTAGTACCAGGAGAGCCGTTGGAGGAGCTCCTCTCCTTTCTGGTCGACATGTCTCTTGGTGTAATTTAAGGGGAAATAGAATTTTAACCCTAACCAGCTCTCATACCATGTTGGGCTGAATGCCCCTTAGGATCTTTGGTAGGGTTAATCTCTGGGTAGAATGATGTAGTAGCGGAAGCGTTAACAAAGAGATTCTGAACCACCTTGCGCTAGTATGTGAGGGCAAAGTAAGTTGATTAAAACAAGGAGATACAAGATTTTATATATGATTACAAGGAATACGAAGAGATACGAATGATAACTGTTTTACTGTTGGCTGTTGCGGTTCGATACAGTGCGACTCGGGCAACTGCTCAATATCGAGCCAGTTGTGTTTCCTTGCTGTCGCGCTGCATTTGTCAAGTCAAAGGTCGCTGACCTTTGACCTTCGCGTAACCTCCAGCTGTTGCTTCAACTTCCGAGGGTTGACTCGCTGGTGCCTTGATATGCGTTGCTTCACTTGTGTCTTTAGTGTTTCAACACGACAGAGGCGCTTAGGACTGATTGTTTCCAACAAACTGCACGCCCCGGTTGCGTGCAAGCAGAGGCGCGTGATCACTCGTTTTGCGACGCTCCCATTCCCTTGCCGCCACACCTATTTGACGCCCGCACTGTCCCAGCAGTGATGGAGACAGCGATAGCGGGTCCGCGACGCTGATCTCTAGGGCGTGAGCCTCTCCAGCCATTGGACGTCGCAGCGCCACATCAACCCGCTTCCCTTGCAGCACCACACTATCCTCCAATGTCACCACCCCCCCCGACGCCTTAGAGATCTTCGCCACCGCAAACTTCACCTCATCATGCACCCGAGAAGGACCATGCTTGTGCCTGCATCTCAGGGCATGGTGTGGGTCTGCTGGGTCAACATACGCTGTGCCACAAACACACCTCCTCGCCACCTGCAGGTGCTGAATTGGGAGGCCGAGCCGTATAGCAGCAGCAATGCCCCACTCAGCCGCAGTGAATGTGAGATCTGAGTGAGCCGGAACCGCCGAAACCCATGCACCTGCCCCCGGACCCTGAAGGGATGTGAAACGGGCCAAGGTAGCATCGTCACGAGCCAAGCGGCGCAGTGCCTGGAGCTCCTCTACAGCTAACTGCCGCTGACGCGCCTGGAAAAGCCGAACAGGAGGGGCCGCTACACACAGAGGTAAGCCCGGTATCTCGTGGCGGATAGTCGATGGCAGCTGCTCGAGAGCCTTGACAAGCCACGGGTCAAGAAACTCTGCCCCTGTCGAAGTGGTGAGGTACTCAGCAAACATCGCCTCCTCACCGCCACCCCTAACTGTGCAATGTCCCGCGCGGCCTGCGCCCACCCGCAAACATAGGACAGCGGGCTCAAAGAGGCTCCTTGTTGATTCTTACGGTACAACACTGGCTCCTAATTTCAGGAGGCTCTTTGACCTTCCGATTGTGGTGATCGTTTCTGGTGACACTGGGCTGCTCCCATCAAACAATGATTTCCTTCGCATGGGAGTGAAACTCTTACTGTTCTTCTCCATTGGCACAAAACGGGATGAGTTGCGGAAGGAGAAATGGCTTTCCATTGTGAAGGAGTATGGAGGACTTTCAATACAGGACTGTGAGGTGGATGCAGGTTCAGTCATCATGTGTGGATTCTTGCTGGGACTGGCCAATCCCAACCAGGCCAAAATTTATCAGTGTAAATCACCCTGATACCCTGATTATCAGGGTGGTTTTTGTTAGTCACACCGATGCCTCAAGGTAATTTTTTTTGGAGCTGTGATTTTCTTGATCAGCCAGGGTATACGTTTAAGGCACACTGATGCACCAGGGTAACCGTTCTTCTTAGCAAGTTTTACCCAGAAGCTAGTACCGTACCACACCCCCCCCCCCCCCCCCGGACCTCCCCCCACTTTCCCGTAACTCGGGATTCCCGTTGGCCAACTGTCAAAACCTGAATTTGCGTCCATGTGCTGGCACGAAGTGGGTCACTATTGGCCAGAAATACAGTTTCACTCTACACAACGCCAAGGACTCACTCGGACTAAACTCATTGTAACAATAACTGAGCAGGGTTTTTACAAGTCTTACACTGATGCCTCAGGGTAAAATTTTCAAACCTAGCCTGAACCCTGATGCAAAAGAAATTTCCTACCGGGTCACACTGATAATCAGGTTTTTGCTTAGGTGCAGCACTGATCATAAGGGTTGCTCAAAACCAAAAATTAGCCCTGATCCCAACACACCATCATCTGTGGCATCTCTAACCATTCAACCAACTCAGGAGGGCTCCAACAAACATTCTAACCAGTAGCCTGACTCTTAGGCATAAGCGGGGGGGCTTTCTCCCTCGATTTGGCCTATCCAAGACTCATGTTGCACAGAAAAGCACTAGAGCAGCTGTTCTAGCATCCGCATGCAACCGAAGGTGGTGTTTAGGCAGAAACTCGGAACTGGGCAGAGGGAGTGACAGAGCACGGTTGGGATGGATTTGGATTCTGGTGTATTATTTTGTTATACATTTGGTGGTGCAGTGAAACCTGCCCATGACACGGGCAAGGCAGCTGCCATAACTGGACCACACCCGAAGCCGGGGCAATAAACTACAGAAATGCAGGCCACACAATTCCGCGCAAGCCGACGCTAGAAAACCACACTACCTGTTTCTAAACTAGTTTTGAGGCAAATAAACTGTACACATCTTCATTTGAGCTCCAGCCTCTAGCTGCCGCCTTGATCTGCTCGGGCAGCTTCTCCTCCCAGGCATCAAAATCGGGGTGCGGACCAGTCAGTGCGAAAATGTTTCGATCCGACCCAGTAGTGCAGTAAAGCAGCACCTGCCCGTCAAAAATTTTCCGCATTGCCTCGATCACCTCGGCACATCGCCTCATACCAGGATCACTCCTGGCTGCTGCTGCTATTGCTGCCGTTCGATCTCCCTCCGTTACTTCTAGTTCGGCAGACTGGATTTGCTCGAAGCTCTTCAAGTATTCGCCGAAGCTGTTGCTAGGCCCCCCACAGTTGATCAGCACCCTTCCTTCAGGGCTCAGGTGGTTCTTCAGGTGCCGCCAGGTGGCTTCGTCTTCTAGCTGAGGGAGGGCGGCACCACCTGAGAAGAGATCCACTATGATGCCACTGAACCGCTGCTGTCCAGCTGTAGCACCACCTGCTGTAGCATCATCTACAGTGCTAACTGTAGTAGCGTCAACAGTGACGCCTTCAGTAGAGGAACTGGTGCCCTGTAAAGGGACAGGAACCGCTACAAGAGCATTGCCTACAGTCACATGCAGGTAGCCCCCTTGAGTTGAGGGTTTCTCCAAAGAGGTGAGGGAGAAGAAGCGACGAGCAAGATCCACCACCTGAGGGGAATGGTTGAATAAAGCGTGCATGATAGTGTGCAAGTGTGTGCAAGTGTGTGCATTTGTGTGGGCATGCGTGGCTATGTGTGGATACATGTGCATGTGTGTGGCTATGTGTGCATGTGTGTGGCTATGTGTGCATGTGTGTTGCTATGTGTGCACGTGTGTCGCTATCTGTGCATGTATGTGGCTATGTGTGCCTGTGTATGAGAGCATGCATATGTGTGCACGTGGGCTAGTGAGTGACAGAGAAAGAGAACGATAGTTTCATCATCACTCCCCTTAACCACCCACCGCTTGGTCCATCTCCCATGCCTGCATGCCAACATCCGGCAACTCTGCCAACATCCAGCAACTCTGCCAACATCCAGCAACTCTGCCAACATCCAGCAACTCTGCCAACATCCAGCAACTCTGCCAACATCCAGCAACTCTGCCAACATCCAGCAACTCTGCCAACATCCAGCAACTCTGCCAACATCCAGCAACTCTGCCAACATACAGCAACTCTGCCAACATCCAGCAACTCTACCAACATCCAGCAACTCTGCCAACATACAGCAACTCTGCCAACATGCAGCAACTCTGCCAACATACAGCAACTCTGCCAACATACAGCAACTCTGCCAACATACAGAGCCAAGGAGCCCTCTCCCAGCACCAGCAGACCCCCTCTCCCAGCACCAGCAGACCCCCTCTCCCAGCACCAGCAGACCCCCTCACCCACCCCCTCTTCCCCCTGCTATCGCTCTCCCTGCTCACAGCACCACTTGCCACTTGGTAACGTTGTAACAACGTGACCATTCAGCCGGCCCAGAAGTCACCTCACACTCACCACTAGGTCATTCTCCCATGCCTGCACGCCGACCTCCGGCCACTGTGTTCTGATAACGCGAGCCACGGAGCCCCCTGCCAGCCCCAGCAGTCCCCTTCATCCACCCCCTTTTCCCCCCTGCTATCGCTCTCCCTGCTCACAGCCATGACTTGGTAATATGGTAACAACGAGACCATTTAGCCAACTCAAAAGTCAATTCGCACTCACCACTAGGTCAATCTCCCACGCCTGCACGCCAACCTCCGGCCACTGTGTTCTGATAATGCGAGCCACGGAGCCCCCTGCCAGCCCCAGCAACGCCACTGGCCCGGGTAAGGGCGCGTTCTCGCCAGAGTCGAGCTCGTGTGACAATAACGGGGCCAGCGACGCCAGGTTGTCCCAGTAGGATCGCGTCCAGATGGTTCTCCTGAGGAGGAGGGGTTTCGGTGGGGTTGCGTAGGCAGACGGGGGAGAAAGGAAAGCGAAGGAGTGAGAGGGAAGAATTCAGTGAAACAAGGTGGTATGGTTCGGTGAGGATGGTGAATCGAAGGAAGAAAAAGGAAATTGAAGGGTACCACGGAGGAAGGTGTAGGAGCGGGGAGGTGGAAAACCCTAAACCACGAGGTTGAACTCTAAATCTGACTGGACTATCTGTCATAGCCTGGCCTGGCACGCACTTGTTGTAAAGACTCGACACGTTGTTCGAGTCGTCCAATAGCATGACCCGCGATCCGGCTAGCACCAATGAAGGATCGTCTGCGTCGTCCTTCCCTCCCCCACCTCCCACCTCCTCCCCCTGCGCCCTCCCCTCCGACGCATTTTCCGCCTGATTCTCCGCGAACTCTAGAATGGTGATCCGAGAGTATATCGTCTGCATGCATGCAAGCACGCGTAACCTTCCCGTCTCGGTATCTAGCCAATCCCCGCTTGCCACGTCATCTTCGTCGGACCCCGCATCTTCCGGTACCCCTGGATCATATTCTTCCGCGACTTGCGCTGAGGGTCTAATGCGAGCCGTGCCACGTGGAAGTGCTTGCGTATGTTGTGGTCTCCACGTTACAATGCTAGAACCCAGACTGCCAGTTAACGAGTCCGACACAGAAAAGCGGGACGAAAGTGGGCGACATTCATAAGTCGTGAACCTCAGATAACCTTTAAGAAGTTTCCTGGGCAGACATCGTCCGATCAGACCTCTAACCTGTCGCGATGGAACGACACGTGGCAATGCAGGCCTTTCGCGAGTGGCGATGACGGGTGACGATGCGCAAGAAGCCATGTTACTAAGACAACCAGGATGGGGCGAAGGAAAAGTGAGCGACACGCGTTAAGGTGGGCTTGCCTTCCTAAATCCTGATGGCTCCCATTCTTCGGCGACTCCTATTTGTTGGTGATTGTGTGAAGTGTTTGAACAACATAGTGACACTGAATATAATAGCAAAGATCGTCTCCCATCGTTTCGAAGTTGTCAATATCGAATATTCCTGCCCCCAGAAGTCCCAACATCTCTGTGTACACGTCACACAAACCCCACCCACACAGGAGTTTCGGATGTTCGTCCGATCGTCTGATGTGACATCCTAGCCTTCGGTTCTTTTTGACCGCAACTTTTAGTTGCAGCTTGTCCAGCGTGGCAAAAGCAGAACCATCTGACCCGTCCTGCCACGGGGGGGCAGATTTTTGTCCCAATGCAGAACGACAAGGTATCTCCACGGGAATCTCGGGGCCAAGGATCCCGCTGATTGGGCAAGGCTTGACTCTAGAATTGCCGACTTTGGTTCGAACCGACTGTCATCGATGTGAACTTGGTTTCACGACCATCAGCCCTTCACAAGCGTGGGTGTGGCCCCGCTACATAAGTTCAATAGCACTGGTCTTCTCTAAACAAGATACTTATAGTCATCACAGCTACATAATGCTGGGTGCTTATTAGATTTGTGTTTTATTACCGTCAGGTGCTGCAATGAAGGTTCATTTTTTCCGAACCAGCATTGAAAGTGCACCTGTTCGATTAGCCTTGAAATCGATTTGATTTCTTGTTTCTACTACCATGATGGTGAGTGCCGTCATGCAATATTCAGCTCTCCGACGTTCCTTCCCCTTCCCTCATGGGCCGTTCCGCCAAATCCACTTGTCTCGATTCTTTGCATGGCTGTCAGCCATGCTCGGGAAGGTACAGAATTCGATGACAACCAATCCCAACCCAACCCATTCCAAACCAACCCAACTCATCCCAGCTCCCCACTTCCCACACCCCAGCCAAACCACCACCAAGCACCCTCCCACCAACCAAGCAAGGCATGGATGCGAGGGAAGATCACATCCACACATCCACATCGCTGGTTCGCGCAACCCGTTCAGATTTCCCTGAGAGAATCCTTTGTTGCATCAGCTCTTCTCAGCTCATTCCCCTGTCGCCCCGACGCCTATCCGTCTTGCTCTCTCACATTCATGGAAACGTGCATTCCGCAGAACAGCGAAGGCAACCCTCAACTGATTTAGGCCACGAGGACACTCATGCTTGCAGTTTACAGAGGTGTTTCTCTTTTGTTAATTTGAGTTGAGGCGCTTTCCTGTTTCTAAATACGAAATAATCCTGTGACTTGCCTTCAAGCAGAAATCATGAGACCAGACGAGGAAGAGCCTACCCGCTCGACGTCGGTGTCCATACGGCTCATATCGGCGCACAACCTGCACAGAGCGAAGGTCTTCAAACGTATGAGTCCCTGCGCGGTCGTGTCAGCATACGGCGACGCTCGCTCGAGCCAATTCCTACCTCCCGTAAAACACGGCCACGCGAATCCCGTCTGGGACACCCTCCTAGAATTCTCCGTCCCGGACCATCTTCTACGCTTGGACGAACCTGCAGATTCAAATTCACAGGATACCAACCTCATAAAACCGTTCCCGCATGTTATAGTCAAGATCTACGCGTCAGCATCGTTAAGGACGTCCTTAGGTCGCGCTACGATACCGTTAGAACAGGCGATTCGACAATACGACCAAACGCACGTTCAGTTCTTCCCTCTGGTGCGGAAATTCATTATCGGGGAAAGCGCGTGCGGAGCGATACAAGTGGAAGTGAAGGTCGGGCGGACGAGTTTCGCTCCGAGGAAAGGCACGGCGGCGTACACCGCGTTCGTGCGGACGCGTTCGCCCTTCTGTTACAGTCACAGAGCGCTCGATACGCTATCAGCGGCGAGAGCCACGCGGAGATTGCCGACAACGCCGTGCTGCGCTGAAGCCACGTGTTGCTGTCCGGGTCACTTGAACGGGAAGCTTTCCAGACACTCCCCGAGAACGATTTTGGTGGAGAACCCTGATGGGTCGATTCAGGGATTTGGATTCAGAGTATCGTGAGTGAATTTGCCTCTTCCTTGTTCGTTCGTTTTTTTGCGTGTGCTGTCATGCATGTTCTGCTGGTTAATGAAATAAATCCTGCCGCAATGGCCTCTGAGAAAGCCTCGTTGTTTGTAAAAAAAAAGGCGAATGCATTTCAGTGTATGTAACGGCCAATTTGGAAGGTACTCTTCATATGCTTTTGAACACCGGAGATGGAAGAAGACAAAGAAAAATAAAACCCCGAACCAGAACCTTAAAGCAACAAGAAATGGTTTCACGTCATTCGCCCCCTTCTTTGTAACCCATGGCTCCACTCTCACCTCTCCACTCCTTCAACGTCCGTGCCAAGCGACTGCACAAAGATCCCCGTCTCCCCTCGCCCAGTCCCTTACTCGTTTTATCCAATATTTTCCTCTATCCAACCTCAGTGTCCCTCCCGCTCCCCCTTTCTGGGCTCCCCTCCCTTTTTGGTTTTCCCTCCCTCTGGATTCCTCTCTTCTCCCTCTGGGTTTCTTTCCTCTCCCTTCGGGTTCCTCTCCTCTCCCTCTGGGTTTCTCTCCTCCCCCCCTCGGTTTTTCTCCTCCCCTTCTGGGTTCCTCCCCTCATCCTCTGGGCTCCTCTCCTCCTTTGTGTTTCTTTCCTCTCCATATGGGTTCCTCTCCTCTTCCTCTGGGCTCCTCTCCTCTTCCTCTGGGTTTCTTTCCTCCCCCTTTGGGTTCCTCTCCTCTTCCTCTGCTCTCCTCCCCCCCTGGGGTTTTCTCCTCCCCTTCTGGGTTCCTCCCCTCTTCCTCTGGGCTCCTCTCCTCATCCTCTGGGCTCCTCTCCTCTCCCTCTGGGTATCTTTCGGGTTCCCTACTTCCTTTCTGCCAGACTCTCCCCATTGTCCTCATTAGGGCAACAAGCATTCTTTCCTCAAAGCCCTAATCGCATTCCTCCGCTCTACTTTCACTCGCTCATCCCATCATACCACATCTCCTTCCAGTCTTCCTTCTGATAACTTCCATCAGCTTTCCCACTTCCGTCACCTTGTCTCCACCTGCTCTATCTCTCTCTCTCTGCTGCACACTCCCCTTAATCGTCCATCCTACCCTACCCTGCACACTCTATCCTCACCCCTGACTTAACAGTGGTCTTTTCCTCAATCCTATTTTCTGACGTGGATGCAATAAACCGGATTTTTAATCTCAGATGAGGCAGCTCGTTTGAGGACATGTGAAAGATTCAGCTGGACGGCCTTTGTAATATACCTGAACTCGTCTCAAGATGGAATTGCTATTTGTTGTAGAATTGGATGGCAAGTGCGAAGTATGTGTACTCTGCATATATGAAACTAGATATAGAAAGATTCATTCATAGGTTTATGCTTCAGATTATGACTGGCTGATGTGGTGTGTGACATATCTAGTGATTTTGAACAATGTTTTACCTCCTACAGATGCTGCAGAAAGCATGTCTGTTTGTAACGGGCTTGTCTATAGGAAATGTCTCGCGACTGCGAAAAGCATTGCTAAACATCGATATCATCTCCGACTGCCCACTTCACCTCCACGGCACACCCTTTAAGTTCTCCAAATTATCTTACCTGGGAAATCTTCCTTGCTACGCACTCCCTTCCGACCTAGCTTTTTGCGTGGCGTTTCGTTTCGTTGCGCGAGAGGTAGCTAGTTCGCCTTCTCGATTCACGCACTGGCTCTCCGATCGTAGCTGTCATCGTCCGTGTGACTCGTGAGCCGTCTTCCTACCACGAAACTAAGAAATCGTGTGAAGTTTTCCTCCAAGTATAGATCCTATCACCGAAATCTGAAGGGAGGGTAGATTCACGGAGGTCTCAGGAGGGCATCCCCAAGGAAGATAAAGCACGATGAATCGGCGGAATGTGAGTTTCCGCTCTTTCTCTCTTCCGACTTCGAGGTTGCCGACCAGAATGATTAGCTTGTAACGTCGCATCCGCAATCGCTAGTTTCACCCTCCGTAGTTAAAGATTCAGCAGGATGCGCGCTGTTTTCTCCGTGTGTGGGCTTAGTTGCTACCGCTATTGGTCTAAGACTCTACTGTATAAGGCTGAGAAAATCCTACTTTTTCTGCCCTTTTCATACTCACGATAATCGCGTATGGAAACAGGTGTCGTGTCCATGCAGTCGCTACACGAGCTTCCATTTGACAATCCGCTTAAAGGGAATTGCTTAGGACCCTTGCGCCCGGCGAATGGTTTCAAGGCTCCCAGCGTTTGCTCACGAAAAAGGAAGTGGTTGGTCCCGTTGCACCCCTCCCCACCTCATTCAGCCACTCTCTCTCCTCTCATTCTCCCCCCTCTCTCTACCTCTCTCCTCCCCAGGTACGACTACCGCCCGAAGTCAACAGAGCCATCTACGTGCGGTGAGTGTAGTGACGTGTGTGTGTGTGAAGGGGTGTGTGAAGTTGAGGGAGTGTGGGAGGGAGTTTGTGAGTGGCGTGTCCGGAGCACCATGTTTGCACATTCCCCTCCCTTAAACATGCGTTGTCTTCTTGCCAAGTGTATACAGTGTATTTTAGAGACGTCTAGAAAATACACTGTATACACGTGGCGTGTCCAGAGCACCATGTTTGCACATTCCCCTCCCTTCAACATGCATCGTCTTCTCGCCACTCGGTTGCACTCAAGCACTGTGCCTGCCTGCGACGCACCTATGATCGTTTGTGTGATAATTAGGAGCCCACGCTCTCTCACTCGCTTCCTGCTTCCATCTCCCTCGCTTCCTTCCTTCGTCCTTCCCCCTGCCTCACTTCTCGTCGCCCCCCTCCCCTCTGCCCCGTTACCCGTTTCCCTTGCGCCGTTCTTGTCCTCGTCACCCAAGAGTATGGCCTCCCACCTCCATACTGTCTAATCACTTCCTTCCCTCTCTATACCTCTTCACACCTCCCTACCGCTCCCTACCCATCTCTGCATCTCTCTGCTCCTCTCTACCCCACACTTCTCCAGTCATTTCCCACAGCATCCTACTGCTGTACGTATCATCTAAGAGGGTGTGCAACATTTCAATGAGTCCTTGCCTTTCTCTGCCCCTTCCTACCCCTCTATACCACTAAATGCCTCTCCCAACAGCAACTTGCCGTTCAACATCACGTCGGAGGGGATGTATGACATCTTAGTGTGCCCTTGCCTCTCTCTGCCTTAACCCCTCTCTACCGTTCTCTACCCCTCTACACCACCTGATGCCCCTCCCAACAGCAACCTACCGTTCAACATTACATCAGAGGAGATGTACGACATCTTTGGCAAATACGGCGCCATCAGGCAAATACGCATGTGAGTCGCTGCAGGGGCCATCCACCTGCACTCTCCACCTGCACACTCCACCTGCACACTCCACCTGCACACTCCACCTGCACACTCCACCTGCACACTCCACCTGCACACTCCACCTGCACACTCCACCTGCACACTCCACCTGCACACTCCACCTGCACACTCTACCTGCACACTCCACCTGCACACTCCACCTGCACACTCCACCTGCACACTCCACCTGCACACTCCACCTGCACACTCCACCTGCACACTCCACCTGCACACTCCACCTGCACACTCCACCTGCACACTCCACCTGCACACTCCACCTGCACACTCCACCTGCACACTCTACCTGCACACTCCACCTGCACACTCCACCTGCACACTCCACCTGCACACTCCACCTGCACACTCCACCTGCACACTCCACCTGCACACTCCACCTGCACACTCCACCTGCACACTCCACCTGCACACTCCACCTGCACACTCCACCTGCACACTCCACCTGCACACTCCACCTGCACACTCCACCTGCACACTCCACCTGCACACTCCACCTGCACACTCCACCTGCACACTCCACCTGCACACTCCACCTGCACACTCCACCTGCACACTCCACCTGCACACTCCACCTGCACACTCTACCTGCACACTCCACCTGCACACTCCACCTGCACACTCCACCTGCACACTCCACCTGCACACTCCACCTGCACACTCCACCTGCACACTCCACCTGCACACTCCACCTGCACACTCCACCTGCACACTCCACCTGCACACTCCACCTGCACACTCCACCTGCACACTCCACCTGCACACTCCACCTGCACACTCCACCTGCACACTCCACCTGCACACTCCACCTGCACACTCCACCTGCACACTCCACCTGCACACTCCACCTGCACACTCCACCTGCACACTCCACCTGCACACTCCACCTGCACACTCCACCTGCACACTCCACCTGCACACTCCACATGCACACTCCACATGCACACTCCACATGCACACTCCACATGCACACTCCACATGCACACTCCACCTGCACACTCCACATGCACACTCCACATGCACACTCCACATGCACACTCCACATGCACACTCCACATGCACACTCCACCTGCACACTCCACATGCACACTCCACCTGCACACTCCACATGCACACTCCACCTGCACACTCCACATGCACACTCCACCTGCACATTCCACCTGCACACTCCACATGCACACTCCACATGCACACTCCACCTGCACATTCCACCTGCACACTCCACATGCACACTCCTTTGGCGATTGGCGCTCTGGTGTATCCATTGCCCCGTCTCTGCTGCAGAACTTGTGAAACACCAGGCACGCTCTTGTGCTGTATGAGGCCATTTTCTTGTACCCTCTCATGGGAAGAATGCCATTCGTTTCTGCACCCCCTTTAGCGTAGTCTCTGTCAACGCCTGTTGTCCATGTCCTTGTGCCTGCCAGCAGAAGGGCGACTATGAGGCGGTTGATTTTGAGAATTTTCAACATCAACCACCGTACGGACATGGTCCTACACCAAGTTTCCCAGCTTCCATTCCATTTCACCAGCCCACAATTGTTCTCTTGTAATAGCGGTGACAAGGAACGGCGTTCCTGGAGTGCGGTGCACATGCTTGGTGTTTTGAGTCGACCCAAAACACGACTCCTACCAGTCCTAGATCGTTCTTTCATAATAGCGGTGACAAGGAACGGCGTTCATGGAGTGCAGTGCGCATGCTTGCAGTTGTATCGTGGCCCCCAGGAACGGCACTCTTGAGAATTCTTGAGAATGATCAACAAAGAAAAGGGCACCAAGGGGAACGGCCTTCTTGGTGTACCGAGGACATGTACGGCGCCAAGAATGCCGCGGAGCATCATTCCCTCCTTCCGGTCCGTGTCCTGTTCATTCTTATCCCTCTTCCAGCGGAGTGACCAAGGAGACGCGCGGGAGCTTTCGTGGTGTGCGAGGACATGTACGTCGCAAAGAACGCCGCAGAGCATTGTTCCTCCTTGTCTTCTCCCTCTCTTATCCCTCCTCCAGCGGGGTAACAACGGAAACGCGCGGCACGCCTTTCGTGGTGTACGCGAGGACATCTACGATGCCAAGAACGCCGTTGAGCATCCTCAGCGCGCCCTCAGCATTGCCTACCTTTTCTCTCCTCGTGTTTCCCTTCAGAGACGTGACAAAGGAGACACGCGGCACGGCCTTCGTGGTGTACGCCAAGAACGCCGTGGAGCATCCTTCTTATGCCCTCCCTGCCTTGCCCCCTAACTGTGTTTCATGTTTCCCTTTAGCGGTGTGACAAAAGAGACGAGGGGAACAGCGTGTGTGGTGTACGACAACATCTACGACGCGACACCAAGAACGCTGTGGAGCATCATTCCTTCCTGCGTGCTTCCTCCCTGTATCATTCCCTTTCCAGCGGAGTGACAAAAGAGACGCGAGGCACGGCCTTTGTGGTGTACGAGGACATATACGACGCCAAGAACGCGGTGGAGCATCTGTCGGGGTTCAACGTGGCCAATCGGTACCTCATAGTGCTCTACTATCAGCAGGCCAAGTTCACCAAGAAGATCGACCAGGTATGCTCTACCTGCTGCGATGGTGCCCTTTGAAAGTAGTTACAGGCAGGTTGGAGGTTCAACGTGACCAATCGGTACCTCACTACCAGCAAGCCAAGTTCACCAAGAAGATCGACCAGGTGAGTGCATTCAAGGGTCAGGAGATAGCATTCCCCTGGAAGTGGGATGTGTTCAGCACAAACAAACACAGATACCTCATAGTGCTCTACTACCAGCAAGCCAAGTTCACCAAGAAGATCGACCAGGTATGCCCTCCTGTTGTGTTCTGCGGTTTGTATGCATGAGGCACAACCCGCAGTCGGGCTCAACCTTGAAGGAATGAGCTGGGTCTGGAATGTGCTTACCTGTTTGGAGGCTCAACGTGGCCGACAGATGCCTCATAGTGCTCTCTACTACCAGCAGGCCAAGTTCACCAAGAAGATCGACCAGGTGTGTTGATTACGGTCTGCTCTGCTGTTTTGCAGTCTCAGGCGCAACCGACCGTCCAGAACAACAGAGGTGAGCGAGGTGGGATTAGGATGTGCTTCTTCATTAGAGGCTTATCCGAACCCTCTTCCGTACTGCTGCTTTACGGTTTCTGCGCACTATGTTCGACCAGCAACCAATACAGGCATATTCACATGTCACCTCTGCCCCTTTGCCCCGCGCTCCCCTTTCTGTTCCCCCCTTCCTCTTCCGCCTCCCTTCTTCTCTGTGTGGCCCTTGCTGGGGTGGGTGAGCAGAAGAAGAACGAGGAGGAGCTGGATAAGATGCAGAAGAAGTATGGCGTGTCGGGGGAACAGAAATAGTATAGTTTTGAGGCGCCTCAGAAATAGCGCGAGGCACATGCTGGTGCGGCTACTGTGATGTTGTCGGGGATGTGTGGTGCTTTCTGGGATGGGTGAACAGAGGAAGAGCGAGGAGGAGTTGGGTAAGAGGCAGAAGAAGTATGGCGTGTCCGGGGAACAGAAATAGCTAATGAGGAACAGTACAGTATGCACATTTCAGCACGGCCTCTGTGACGTAGCAGAAGAAGTATGGCATGGCGTGCCGGGAGCGCAGAAATAATGGATGGCACGTACTGTTACAGCCACTGTCGTGCTGACGCGCTGTGGCTCAACCCCTCTCTCTCCCCTGGGAGAGCAGAAATAGCTGATGTAGAATAGTATGAACATACCGGTGCGGGCGGCTACTGTGATACAAAAGATGGCATGTTGAGAAAGCAAAAGTATCGGAGGCATGTACCGTTACAGTCAGTTGATATGGATGGATGGAGTATGGCATGGGGAGAGAGAGCAGGAGTGGGACATGTCATGCCTGCTACGCCCACAGTGATGGTGACTTCGCCATCCTTTTTCAGCATGCAAGTTTGGGATCCCGTTTATCATCTCCATTCCCGAAGCCCGTTCAAGAAAGGACGACCAGGGGTGCATGCAAAGTACCACCATTGATGTTACTCTGTAGTTGCTGCTACATTTTCACACAGACCCACCCATCCCATTGACTCACATTCCATTTGTTGGGCTGAGATAGCCCCTTAGGATCTTTGCAAGGGATAACTCTAGGTGAAGTAGTTGTAATAGCGGAAGCGTTTAGTGAAGAATTTGAACCGACCTTGCACTGGTGTGTGAGAGCAAAGTTGATTGAATTAAACAAGCAAATACAAGGATTTATATAAGAGTACAGGGAATACGAATAGATATGTAGATAACTGTATTGCTGTTGCGGTTCGATACAGTGCGACTCGGGCAACTGCTCTGTAGCGAGTCAGTTGTGTGTCCTTAACTGTCGCGCTGTAATTGTCGAGTCAAAGGTCAGCGACCTTTGACTTTCTCGTAACCTCCAGGCGGTTACCCTAACCTCCGAGGTTGACTCGATGCTCCGATTGGGACTGCTTCGCTTGGTGCCTTGGGTTTTGATACGACAGAAGCGCACTTAGGACTTATTGTTTCCAACACTCCCCTTCGCTTCTGGAGTGTCGCTGCTGGTGACGTGGCCTTGTCCAGTCAGCATCATGCAGTATTCGAACTTCTGCTTTCCGAGTTTCTTGGTCAAGTAATCGGCTGCCATCTCGGATGTTGGGCAGTATGACAGATCGAGTTTCCCCTTTTCTATCTCGTCCTTCACGAAGAAATAGCGCAGGGCGATGTGTTTCGTCCTGTTTGCGAAGCCGTTTTTGTTGGCGATGCGAATTGCTGACTGGTTGTCGCAGAACACGGTGAAGCTGGGTAACTCGGCTAGCTTCGCTTCTTCCAGTAGTTCGCGAAGGTAAAGTCCCTCCTTGGTGGCTGAGCAGAGTGCAATATATTCTGCTTCTGCTGAAGATAGTGCGATTAACTCCTGCTTGCTCGACTGCCAGGAGATAGGACCGATAGGCTCAAGGCGGTAGACATAGCCGGTGCGTGAGCGCCTGTTGTCGGTGTCGCCGGCGTGATCGGCGTCGACGTAGCCGATTAGCTTAGTTGGTGTAGCTGCGCTCTTGTGGTAGGTTAGCCCGATCGTCGCGGTGCTGACGAAGTAGTGGAGAGCGCGATCAAGTTCCGCCAGGTGTTCAGCTTCAGGCTTCTTGAGATAGGTGGCGAGCTGACTTGCGGAGTAGGATAAGTCAGGGCGGCAGGTGACGGCGGCGAATAGCAGGCATCCGAGCTTCTTCTGATAGTCGCGTATGCCGGCGGGCTTGAGTAGAGTAGTTCGTTCCTTCTCGGTTCCTGATGTATAGCGGTAAGGCGTGGAGATGGCGCTTGGTGTGAGGCTGAAGCGTTTCGCGATGGTGTCGGCGTATTTCTCGGCGCTTAGATAGATGGCGTTTTCTTCTTCGCGGATGTTGAGCCCGAGGTACTGTGTAACGGTGGAGGAGACCGTGAGCGTGAGATCTTTCTGGAGCTCTCCTTCGAACCACGTGGCGATGCCGTCGGTCGACCCAATGTAGAGGAGATCGTCCACGTAGACGATCAGGAGAACGTAGTCGCTTCCCTTAGTGAGGCGGTACATGCCTTGGTCGTGAGGTAGTTGACTAAAGCCGATGCGGATGAGACGGGCGTGCAGGTACTGCTGCCACAGTCGCGGTGCTTGCTTGATCCCGTAGAGCGACTTAAGTAGTTGACAGATTCGGTTGGGTTCGCCGTGGGAACCGTGCGGGAGCTCGACGTAGATTTCTGCATCCACAGGTGCGTAGAGGAAGGCATTCGCTACGTCGATCTGCCGTAACTTCTTCTTCTTCATGGCGGCAATGGCGAGGAGAATTCGGAGTGACGTGTGGCGGCTGACTGGAGCAAAGGTCTCGGTGAAGTCTCGTCCTTGCTCTTGGTCGAATCCACGTACGACCCAGCGTGCTTTGAATTTTTCGATCGTGCCGTCTGCTTTCGTCTTGATGCGGAAGACCCATTTCCTGGTAAGGATGGTTTTGTTCCGTGCCACGCTTACGGGAACAACCTTCCAAGTGTTGCGTTCCTCTAATGCCTTCAGTTCTCTATCCATGGCTTCACGCCATTTCTCCCTGTGTTCCCCCCCCAGAGCCTGCTGAACCGTTGCAGGCTCCTGAGGAAGCGAGCTGCGTGTGTTCCCGTGGACTGCGGTGACGAGGCCGAGGATTTGCAGCCCAGTCTGTGAGTATCGAGGGAGTTCTGGATCCTCGGGATAAGCTGCTTCGTCTCCCGCTTCTGGATCAGGGATGAAATTCGGTCCTATCCTTTCTGCTTCATTTGTGTTGACGGTTGCAGGTGTTACGTAACCGGTGTCGGCGAAGTGGTAGAAGACTTCGGCGTTGTTACTGTCGCGAGGATTTTCTTCGTCCATGGGCACGTTGACGGAGCAGTACGGGAGAGGTCCGGCTTCTGCCGATGCGTTGTCAACATTCTGCTCGTCCCAGTCTGCTTCATCCGCTGCTGATGCGAAGGCTCGGTCACCACGAAAACCACTGGTGAGGTCCCGATTCTCGTGCAAGTTGGCGAGGTACGTCTGAAGGGTGAGTCTTTCGTAGAAGATCACGTCACGTGCTGCTACTGTTTCCTTTGTGTGGACGTCGAAGATTCTCCATGCGTTGTAATTTTTCTCGATGCCGAGGTGTAGTCCCCACTGTGCCCGTTGCGAAAATCTTCCCGCTCGTGCTTCTGGGGGTCTGTACTGTACCATGCACCCGAAAACTCGTAACATTTTCGTGCTGCCCTGCTTCCCTGTCCACAGCAGATGCGGTGATGCGTTGTTCGGGAGTGACGACGACGACAACAAGTTGTGCAGCATGACAGCGTGGTCCATTGCTGCTGGCCACTGGTGGTTGGGTAGCCGCATGCCACGTAACAGTTTGCGCATGCTGTTCTGCAGGGTCCTGTTCAGTCGTTCTGCAACACCTTGCTGCTGATGTGCGTAGGGAAGGGAGAGGAGTTGCTTGATCCAGGTTCTTCAGATGGCTGTACGCGAGCTCCGCCGAGTTGCCGAAGGTCCGGTAAGAGCGAATGTTCTGCTGCTGAGTTGGTGTCACGTTCCTCAATAGGATTGTATACGCCATCATTGATTGATACGTATACTGCTGCTTTTCATATTGTGTCCCGTTGGCTGGATACTGCAGGGACCCGTCGAAGAAGCCGAGTATCTGCGCGCCCTCCATCATCAGCTCGAATTCAAAGGACCAGGTAAAGAAGTCTTTGCCGTCGAAGGGTCTTGACGTTTGCAGTTTTAAGACGTGTGCAAACTGCGACTGAACTTGAAGTGCGTCCAGTGGTCTTTCTTGTCCAGGTGAAGGTTGCGGGTGGGGCACGAAGCTGATTGACCCGCGCTCGTACGGAGCAAAGGTAGGTTGCTGCTGCTGGTTTCCTCGCGCATATGACGACCCATCAAGACTCATGGGTGTCGCTCCATTGTTGCTGTTGTGTGTTTGTGCAGGTCCCGACTGCTGGTGTTGTTCGTAGAAGGACATGAAGGAGAAAAATTTCTCCATCATGTTCTGGTCAAAGTCCGAAGGGTGGTTCATGGGGGTTTCGGTTGACGTTCCTCTTGGTCTTGTTGCCGTGCCTTCCTCTGTCTGCAGGCCAGAGGCTGGCGGTGGAGTAGGAGTAGTGCCCGAGGAGCCATTAGGGGAGCTCCTTTCCTTGTTTGTTGCCATGTCTTGTAATGATCTTGAAAAAGGAGTAGAGTTTCCCTTGTCAGCTCTCATACCATGTTGGGCTGAGATAGCCCCTTAGGATCTTTGCAAGGGATAACTCTAGGTGAAGTAGTTGTAATAGCGGAAGCGTTTAGTGAAGAATTTGAACCGACCTTGCACTGGTGTGTGAGAGCAAAGTTGATTGAATTAAACAAGCAAATACAAGGATTTATATAAGAGTACAGGGAATACGAATAGATATGTAGATAACTGTATTGCTGTTGCGGTTCGATACAGTGCGACTCGGGCAACTGCTCTGTAGCGAGTCAGTTGTGTGTCCTTAACTGTCGCGCTGTAATTGTCGAGTCAAAGGTCAGCGACCTTTGAATTTCTCGTAACCTCCAGGCGGTTACCCTAACCTCCGAGGTTGACTCGATGCTCCGATTGGGACTGCTTCGCTTGGTGCCTTGGGTTTTGATACGACAGAAGCGCACTTAGGACTTATTGTTTCCAACACCATTCTCTAAAACAGTTTTGGAGGACTAGATACACTGCACTGCACTGCACGTTCACAGTCGCTACGAACATATGCCGCTAGGGCTGAATCTCTCTTTGCGCAAGGCTTTTTCATCGCCACAGCAGCACGTGAGTTGGATCTTAGCTGTTCATTCAACCGTTTCTCAGAAATCCAACGGCTCGATGCGCCAGCTTTGGCAGTTCGACGACTGCCGAACCTGTACAAAAGCCTACAGCTGATAGGAAAAAAAAATTGCAAGCCAGACGCCAAATCAGATCAGGGACTACAAATATCACGGGCAGTGCCTCGATACTTCGAAACTCACGATAGAACTACCGTTATGGTACCTTTTCTGTATCTCTTGGAAGCCCAATTTAGCACTGATGGCAAAGAGCATTTTCCAACAACGGAAGATAAACACGAAATAATGACTAGGATTGCTGGACACCACTGCTCAAGGGTGTTGTACTTCCTTGCAGCGTCAGCTAGTCTCAACTCGTGTTGACTTTTGCACCCACCACAGAATACAAGCCTGCTGCACCACCAGAGCGGACGTGCACCACATAACTGTGCGTGAGAGAAGCATTGCACCTGAAAAAAAACTGATCCGCTAACGGAAGTGTACAGTGGCACGTAGACTTCAGTGTACAGAACACCAGCTGACGAATCTGCAGGTCAATCCAGGAGCATCTGCACCTCTACCTGACACGAGTGAGCCATTCAAACCACCTGAAGAATGCGTGCTGACACTAAACATTTGAGAATTTCGAGCCCACTCACCCTAATTGCGATACTAGTCTCCAAACGAAATGAAGAGGCAGGAGACTCTTGTTAAAAAATGTAGATGTTTTTTCGGAGACCTCATATCAGGTACAGTGAAGTTTCGACTCATCTGTCGTGTTTACAATTGTACTCAAAACACGTTCGCAGTGCTTCTTCGCCACCTGGCGTGAGCTCACGACATATTTTTCAATCCCTAGTGGGGGTTTTGCTTAGTTTCCCTAGCTGAGATAAATCAAAGGCTGAACACGGTTAGGTGTGAAGATTTAAAACTTTCTGAGGTGCAGTACGGTGGTCGTTTGAATGACCCGGTGCACCACTCCCTCAGGAAACCGCCGTTGGCTGAGCGTGGGAGCCTATCTGTTATAAACGAAACGTAACTTTGAAAACGTGGCAATTAGTGTACAATCTTCTCGCCAGAGACTATAAATATGCCGCAATTCCAGTCTTCCAAATTTACGGTTCTCATGCCGTGGATAAATACCTTCAGATGGATACAAACTCGGAGCTGTAGCAGGCTGCGTTGTGCCACATGGCGAGCCGCCGTTCGCCTACTGCCGCGTGTCCCGACAACCGAGGCCACGTGACGACAGAATCCACCAGCCGCACTTCCTGCCGACATGGCTTTCTCAGGACCATCTGGGCGATTATCCGATGATTTTGGAGGCCTGGAATTTTGTGACGTCCTAGGTCCCTGACAGCCGTCCGAAGGGTCGCGTCCCATGGCATTACTCAGGAAAACTGGACGGGGCGAGTGGGAATGGGGAGGAGAGGATTCCCGACGGAAGAAGGAGAAGGGGGAACCCCTGGGGGAGATCTCTTTTGTCGCTTCCCACCCGGCGCGCGTATACGCGCGCCCATAAGCAGATTTGGAAGGGGAACCCAGTGAATTTCGCCGGCTTCTACTATCCCTGCCGCACCACCTGCCCCACCACCTGCCCCGACCTGCCCCCCCTGCCCCAGCGATCAGGGCCAATCCTGCCCCTACCCGACGCGCCAGTGGCCTGCCCCCGATCAGCACTTCCTAGTAGAGTCCCTGTGCAGGTTACGGCGAGCAGAGGGATCTAGTAGATGTGACATCCAGGTTACGATCATGTCACATCCAGTAGTACCCACGTCTGCGAGACGTGACAATATCACTTCTCCTCACGCTCCTCACGCTTTTTGTGGCACAAGCAACTCCTCACGCTCTCGCTCCCCTCTCCTCCCACCGGCGCAGCTGCTGCCGCCGCTGCTGGACCTGATTTGAAGGCACTTTGCCTCTGCTATTTTCGGCCGTCGGGTGGTATAAGCGTCTGCTGCTCACCACGGTATCATCCACCGCTCCGCCTCCTCCGTCGTCCCTTCTCCGCTACCCCCTACTCCGCCGCCGTTCTCCGCCGCCCCTTCCTCCGCCGCCCCCTCCTCCGCCGCCGCTTCTCCGCCGCCCGTCATGTCGCGCCGGGGCTTCACGCCAGTTGCGCTGTCGCCAGCGGCGGGTCTCGTTGCGCTGCTGCTCGTCGCAGCGGCAGCTGGCGGAGTGCGCGGATCAAGCGGGAATGCGGCGCTACCCCGCAAGCTGGCCGCGGGCGGAAGCGGAAACAGTAATGCCGCGGCGCCGGACCCCGCCGCGGCGGAGCTAGTGAAGAATTCCGCCCATGCTTCCGGCGCGGAAGGGGACGGGCTTGTAGTGAAGGATTCCGCGCCTTCCGCCAGCGGTGAGGCGGAGGCGGAGGCGGAGGCGCAGATTCCGCCGCTGCAGCTGATAATTGCGGAAGAAGGGCGCGCGGAGGGCGCAGTGTGCTTGGACGGATCGGCCCCTGGGTTCTACTATCGGAAGGGCTACGGCTCGGGACGCAACAACTGGGTGCTGTTCTTCGAGGTGTGACTATAACGAACGACTTCCGTCTTCCTCCTTTTCTTCATTTGTCACTGATTCTCTCTTACCCTCCGCCTCCCATGTTTGCCCTCCATCCCCTGCTTGCTTACCTCTACTGTTTTTCGTACCCTCCCTTATCTATCTTCCATTCCGCCCCCCTTCCCCTCCCCCCACCCCTCTCCGCTTCCCCTTGACTCTCCCCTTCCGCCCGCATTTCAGGGCGGCGCATGGTGCGCGACTCCCCACGGCTGCGCGTACAGGGCGCACACGCGCCTGGGGTCGACGGACCACGCGCTTTCAGTGGCGGAGATGGTGGATGTGCAGAGCGGCAGCATGAACGGCATGCTCAGTGCCAATAAGACCGTCAACCCTGGTGAGGCTCAGCCAGAGCTGCTACACCGCACCACACCGCACCGCACTGCACCTCACTGCACCGTCAGGACGCTGGTGCTGGTGAGCATGACTTGACACCCTCTTCTGGAGAGCAGCTTAAACACATTGACGTCCACCGCTGGATTTTTTCAGCGCAGCATGGCAGCACAGCAACACAGCAGCACAGCAACGCCGTTGATACGCCTGTTAACCTTCCGCTCCGCGGCCACCTCTCTTCACCTCCCGTGCTGACACCGCCTCACATCCACCCCTGTTTCCTCCATCACCAGGCTTCTACAACTGGAACGCCGTCTATTTCATCTACTGCGATGGCGGCTCCTTCTCAGGCCACCAAGACGAGCCCGTTCTCTTCAATGTCAGTCAGCTGCCCCTCTGCCTCTCCGCCTCTCCGCCTCTCCCTATTCCCCTCTTTACATCTCCGCCTCTCTCTCTCCCCCTCTCCGCCTTTCCGCCTGCTAAACCCTCTCCCTAATTCTTTTTCGCATTCCCTCTCTCTCCGCCTCGCCACCTCTCCGCTTCTGGCCGTGCTGTTTCTTCCTTCTCATTCCCCCCTCCCCGAGTCCACCTCCCTCCCAACCCAAGGCATTCCCCACCCCAGTACTTTCGGGAAAATCTAGACTCAATTTCATCATTTTATCCCTCCTGTTCCGTTCCCCTTCTTCCCCTTCCCCCAGGGCATTCCGCTGTACGTGCGGGGAAGGCGAGTGGCGGACCTGCTGCTGAAGCACCTCGTGGAGAAGAAGGGGCTTGGCCACGCGGAGAAGGTGAGGTGGGCGGATGAGAGGGGGGCGGATGAGAGGGGGGGGATGAGAGGGGGGGGATGAGAGTGGGGGGATGAGAGAGGGGGAGATGAGAGGGGGGAGCGTGAGAGCAGGCGCACAGGGAGTGGAGGGGGAGGGGAAAGCCCGGGGTTTTCGATTGACACGCCTCATGGGTTTTCGATTGACACGCCTCATGGGTTTTCGATTGACACGCCTCATGGGTTTTCGATTGACACGCCTCATGGGTTTTCGATTGACACGCCTCATGGGTTTTCGATTGACACGCCTCATGGGTTTTCGATTGACACGCCTCATGGGTTTTCGATTGACACGCCTCAGGGGTTTTCGATTGACACGCCTCATGGGTTTTCGATTGACACGCCTCATGGGTTTTCGATTGACACGCCTCATGGGTTTTCGATTGACACGCCTCATGGGTTTTCGATTGACACGCCTCAGGGGTTTTCGATTGACACGCCTCATGGGTTTTCGATTGACACGCCTCATGGGTTTTCGATTGACACGCCTCATGGGTTTCTCTGCCCTCCTTGGATTCCCACTGGGGTGGGGTCCTGAGATGAAAATCCATCCTTGCTCCCTTCCCTCCTCGCTGCCTCATCTTGCCTCTTTCCTCAGCCTCAGGTAGCTGTAGCGTGCTGCTCTCCTGCCAGCTCACCTGCCTGCTCACCTGCCTGCTCACCTGCCTGCTCACCTGCCTGCTCTCCTGCCTGCTCTCTTGCCTGCTCTCCTGCCTGCTCACCTGCCTGTAGCGCAGCGATCAGCTGAGGCCGACTCTGTCCTTCCTTCATGGCAGGAATTGTGTTGTGTTTTGAGTCGACTCAAAACACGACTCATTACAAGAGGCTGACTCTGTCCTTCCTTCATGGCAGGAATTGTGTTGTGTTTTGAGTCGACTCAAAACACGACTCATTACAAGAGGCTGACTCTGTCCTTCCTTCATGGCAGGGATTGTGTTGTGTTTTGAGTCGACTCAAAACACGACTCATTACAAGAGGCTGACTCTGCCCTTCCTTCATGGCAGGAATTCCACTGGAAGCTGCTGGAATCTAATTCTTCCCCCTTTCGTCCCCGCTTGTCTTGTCTGTGACTCGCTTCCTTCCCCCCTTTCCCTTCCTTCGACCCTGCGTGTCCCTCCCACCCGTTAAACCGAGCAGGTGGTGGTGTCGGGGTCCTCAGCGGGAGGGGTGGCGGCGCTGCTGCACTGCGATCGAGTGAGGGACACTCTCACAGCCGCCTCTCCCTCCATGCACGTCCGCTGCCTTGCTGATGCCTCCATGTTCCTCGACGTGTAAGACTCCTCTTCACCCGTCTTCACTCCCTTTCACTCTTAATCACTCTTCTCTCACTCCTATTCACTCCTCTTTCACTCCTATGGGCTGAATTGTAAGAGCCCATTGACTTGTGTTGACTTGTTTATTTTTTTTAGTACAAATATTGAAGGTGTTTTTTTTTTCTAAACCCCAGACCCATGTCGGTGCATGCGTGTGTGTATCTCTTTCCCTCCCTCTCCCCCCATGTGCAGACCAGATGTCAACAACACCAGAAGGGTTGCCAATTTCTTTGCTGAAGTGCACGACATGCATGTGAGCAAGTTAGGGCATGCATGTGAGCAAGTTTGGATATGCATGTGAGCAAGTTAGGTTATACATGTGAGCAAGTTAGGATATGCATGTGAGCAAGCCAGGACATGTATGCATGTGAGCAAGCCAGGAGATGCAATTTCACACCTACCATACCTGCCATCCTTCTCTCTTCTCTCTCCCTTCCGCTTTCTCTCCTCCCTTTCCCTCCTCCCTGTTCTCTCCTTCCCTCTCCCCCATGGCTCCACCCGTCCAGAATCTGACTGGCAACCTTCCGCCAGCATGTCTCAAGGAGCGAGAGCCAGAGAAACACCATGAGGTGCGCGGCGCGTGCCAAGCCAATGCTGCCTTGCACGCACTGAGTCTGCCATCCCACCTCGCATGCTCTCTTCTCTTCCACGCCATGCCATCCCACCTCGCGTGCTCTCTTCTCTTCCACGCCATGCCATCCCACCTCGCGTGCTCTCTTCTCTTCCACGCCATGCCATCCCGCCATTGCCGTGAGCCAACGTGCTAAATCCATCCCCTCAACAAGCACCCCCCCTCTCACTTGACTCCTGCTCTTCCTTCCGTAGTTGCCCTTATCACCGCTCTTCACTCCTCTTCAATCCTCTTCACCATTGCCAGATTCCGGCCCACTCTTCCCTCCTCACCAATACAGTGTTTCATGGCCAATCAACTGCTGAAATACGTCTCCACGCCTCTCTTCCTCATTAACAGCAATTATGACAAGATAGCGGTATGTTGACAAGTGTGTTGCTCGTGTCGTTTGATTATTTATACGATTTTTAGTCAATTGCCAAAGTTGATACTATAATTGTTTTATCATTATTTTTATTGCCAAGATTGGTACAATGTATTAACATAATCTCTTTGTTATACCAAGAACTCATCCCGACCTCTTTGCGACTAGTGTGGCATGAGATGGACTGAAACTGGAAGGTCTCACGTCACAGTACTGCATCACTCTTGAGCTCGCACCCACTGTCACACCAGAGTGCTAGCACCATCTCTTCAACATTTTCTCTTTCGTCTCTTGACGTTTTCCTTTCTCACATCTTTCACCCTTTTCCCTAACAACTCTATTTAGATTTTTTTCTCTCTCTCTATCATACCTTGAGCCGTTACTCTCTCATCATACGTTTTCCTCTCTGACTCTGACCCTTGCACTCTCGTTTGTGCCTTGACGTGCAGATGAGGGCCATTGCAGCACCGCAGGTGTTGGATTCGGGAACAAGGGCCCCTCCAGACTGCTTCAACCACCTCAGCAAGTGCACCGCTGCTGAGAATCGAGTTATCGAGGGTATGTGAGTGTGGGTGAGCGAGTGCGTTTGACAATGGGAGGGAGTGTAAAGCGTATTTTTTTCTAAAAGGAGCTTTTGATTGCACTTGCACAGCTCTACTCTCCTTGCCTTACTCTCCTTGCCTTACTCTCCTTGCCTTACTCTCCTTGCCTTACTCTCCTTGCCTTACCCTCCTTGCCTTACCCTCCTTGCCTTACCCTCCTTGCCTTACCCTCCTTGCCTTACCCTCCTTGCCTTACCCTCCTTGCCTTACCCCCCTTGCCTTACCCTCCTTGCCTATTCTTACGTTGCCTTCCTCGCGCCTTACCTTGCCTTCAATTTCTTTCCCACCCGCCTTGCCTTGCCTTGCCTCACTCGGTTTTCCCCACCTTGCCTAACCTTGCTTCAATGGCCTCACCTTGCCTCTCCTCGCCTAACATTACCTCACCGTGCTTCACCTTTCACCTCTCCTGGGTTTCAGACTACCGCAAGGCAGTGGCATCAGCAGCGGCTCCTCTCCTCCACACCGACCCACCATCATCCACCACTTCATCACCATCTCAACCGCACTCCACACCTGCCAACGCCGTCTTCCTCTTCTCCTGCTTCCAGCATGGCTCCATTCACTTTGACATGCCGTGGACTGTGCGCACGGCGAAAGGGGTGGTGAGTTACCAGCTAGGTTGCATGAAACATAGGGTGGCGCGTTAGATGCAGGGTTCTGTGTAACGGGGTTTCCTTACCTCTATCCACTCGGACATGCCGCGGAATGTGCGCACGGCAAAAGGGGTGGTACATATCAGCAGAGTTCCATGTCCTGCTACCGTAGCACATCCAACATTTTAGTTATCTTCAAGACGTTCCGAAACAGCGCTACCAACCGAGTGAGTGCATGTGCATGCTCTTCTGTCCCTTGGTTCCGTCAGTGCTGCCTGTACCAGTTTATGTGCTATGCACAGCGAAGGGACATGTGTGTGCGTGTGCGCGCGCGTGCGTGCGTCCGTGTGTATGTGTGAGCATGCATGGGTGTGCATGCATGGGTTGTGCATGCATGGGTGTGCATGCATGGGTGTGCATGCATGGGTGTGCATGCATGGGTGTGCATGCATGGGTGTGCATGCATGGGTGTGCATGCATGGGTGTGCATGCATGGGTGTGCATGCATGGGTGTGCATGCATGGGTGTGCATGCATGGGTGTGCATGCATGGGTGTGCATGCATGGGTGTGCATGCATGGGTGTGCATGCATGGGTGTGCATGCATGGGTGTGCATGCATGGGTGTGCATGCATGGGTGTGCATGCATGGGTGTGCATGCATGGGTGTGCATGCATGGGTGAGCATGCATGGGTGTGCATGCATGGGTGTGCATGCATGGGTGTGCATGCATGGGTGAGCATGCATGGGTGTGCATGCATGGGTGTTTAACCAATCTGGCCTGGAACCTTTCCTGCTCTCCCATCAATCCAACGGCAGCCGATGTACAAAGCTGTGGACCGTTGGATGCACCCCGACAACAGCGACAAGATTCATCTCATCGAGGGAGGATATCCGTGCAACTCGTGCGCCATGAAGGAATAATGCATCGGAAAAGCATTTCTTCTGTTCAAGTGCATTACTGCCCAGGTGCTCTCAGCTTTGGCCGTGCAAATGCTGAATAAGGCCCACAGGTTTGGAATAAGGCCAGGAGGGGGGGCGGGGCGGGGGGTAGTTACTCCTGTATTATGTAACAAAGTACTCGGCTAGGACCATATTTGATTACATGGTTTGATTCAGATTTGTTTTTTTTTTTTCCCTTGGTATGGCTGCTTTATTGTAAGTCATTCATGCATGGGCATCACTTACATTCCTTGCCCTCCACTGCAACAAGTACTACGTAATAGCACAAGCAGAGGATGCATGCATGCACAGTACAAGTGCCGTACTAGCACACTGCAGTTACTGACACATATACATAGATCCGTCCCACTTGGCATTTCGCAGATTCCACTCGGCAATCTTTGTGTCCTTCTCGGTTCTAATGAGACACACGCGAACTCTATTCTTCATGACTTCCTGCAAGTAAATCAGGCATCTGCTTCAAAAGAAGCACAAGCCTCTCTTGCACACGAGCGCTTCCCCCTACACCCTTGGGAAAGCCATGTTTCATCAACAGCACGCCCAATGGCTTCCGAGTCTTCAAGGTTAGCTGTTCTTCCAGCTGTTGCAGAGAAATCCAATGGCTGGATGTGTGACCTCCACAAAGTGCTGTTGTCACCTCTTCTGTCCGCAAGAGATCTTCCAGTGCTGCATGAACCGCAACTCTCAACCAAGGGTCCTCATATTGGCTTCCGACTGGACGAGTGAAATGCTGGGAGGCTTGCGCGGTTCTTCCCAGGTAAAATCCACAACACCGCTGAGCGCGGATATCAACTGATGCTGTCCTTTCAAACCGTGGTCTTTGTACCTGAACTGCTTCCCAAACACAGCATGGTAAAGCTGGAGAAATCGCAGGAAGTCACATGTATTGTGAGCACCAAGGATGGTAAAAAACTCGTATCTGAGCCGTGCTAATTCTGGAACATTGCTTGTAACTTGTGGGGGTGTCAAGCCTGCAACGGTGTTGTGTGCGCTGGAGTTGGTAGGATCCAACTTTGGAGACGCTTCTGCAGATGATGACATGAGGTCAGTCCTGCTGAGCAGGAATCCGCGCATAATGACTGAACCTGCTCGTACCTCACTGGAGTGCACGGACACCTTGGACTGCCTAAGAGCCGAGCGCCATCTCTCGATGTGCTCCTGGTTCCGTTCTGTGGTTGAGGAGAACAATGTGACTACTCTCACTCCCGTGCGAACCAGTGTTGTGATAAAAGGGAAGAAATCCCGATCTCCAGAAAGTATGACCACCAAAGGAAGCTCGAAACTGCATGGGAAGCCAGGGTTGAGATACTCACGTAGGCATAAATAAGAAAAAAATAAAAGGAGTGGAGTGGCTGGAAAAAAAGGGGAAATCATAAAACTACAGCTACAACACTTACTTGGCTTTCGAAGTGCTTTTCCGTCCAGAGTTCAGAAGGCATGCGATCTCCCTGAGCAAGAATCTTTCAACGTCTTTCATTATGGCGTTGTCTGCCATGTTTCTTCCAGGCGGAACTACCACCAGCTCAATGCTGCAGCTCCGAATCTCCTTCTGCTCCTGGAAGGATGTGTCCTGTCCGTACGCTCTGATCAGCTGCACGTCTCCTAGACAGTCTGCACATTTCTGCAGCTCGCAAACAATTTCTGAGGTCGACGCACGTTTTGGGACGGGAAGATTCTCGTAGTCCCAAAACACACCAACAGGAGCTCGATTTGTTGCCGGGGAACTCCAGGTAGAGCTCAGCTCCTTGAACGTGCGCTGAAGATCACTGGAGCCGGTATCATGTCGTTTTAGAGCTTTCCCTTTGCATTGAATGGATCTAGCAGACTTACTCCTCAGCGTACCGCGTTCTAAGTCGACAGCCGAGTGAGAGTTGAGAGTGAAAAATTGTTCAGTCTGGTCTGGTCAGCTTCGAAGCTGGAAAAGTGGGATTGTACAAAGCGCGTGAGTCCATGGTGGTGGTTGCCAAAAACTCCAGAGAAACGAAACCATAAGAACGCTCACCAATACAGGATTTATTGTACGTGTGAATCTCGTTCTAGGGTGGTCGAGAATAAAGTGCCGTGATAAAGCCACCTACGAGTCGCGATCCCGTGATGGGAAACAGATAAAGTGTTGCTTGCATGAACGAGTGTGCATCCATCGATGATCTGCTTGCATGCATTTGACTGTCGATGTCTCCAAGGCAAAGCTCTAAACTGGACTGCTTTTTTTTTTTTTTGGGTTGCGAACAGGGCCTCAGATTCGTTTTAGGGTACCTTGAGCACTCGGGGTCCCTTGGAGGTGTAACACTGATCTTCAGTGTTGCCTGCTTAGAAACACTGGTTTTTCAGGGTTAGTAAAAAACACTGATCACACAGGGTGCCTTTTCAAAAAACACGAATAATTAAAGAAGGGGTGCAGCCCGGTTGTGATGTGGAGAGCATGAATGAACGAGACCCCCTGCGGCATGGGTCGGCTGGTCGAACCGCACAACCACACCCTTGCGTGGTGAATCTGATCTGATGCCACCATTCACCACTGGTCCACTCTGGATTTGTGCGCAGCGAGGCCAAGAATGACAAGTGTTGGCTATTTGACCTGGAACAGCCAATCAAATAGCGCCTTTGCGCAAACACTGCCCAAAATTCAGCCGCATGGTGGCGTTGATCCTCGTTAGGTACACCCTCTTTCTCACCTCTCTCACCGGCGGAAGCATTGGCTACACTGTTTGAACGAAGCGGGCTGGTGAGATAAGTCAGTTGCGGGCAAAGTCGCACGAGGGTTTGAAACACGCCTTGGGCCGTTAAAAAGCATTAACGTTGAATAACCGTCCCGACCGCTTTGAAAACAACAGTACCATTGTAGAACGTAGAAAACCTTGACTAAACGCCCTGGGTAAAATTGTCACTGTAACGCATGTGATAGGACCTTCTTTGGTCCGGTGTGGCTACACTAAGCGTCTCTGACAGTATAACATATGCCAGAATATCGAGACAAACGATGTACATGGATGATGACGGCGCGCCAATATGCGAGAAACACGGAGTTTCGGTTTCAAGGTCAACCCCAATACAACACTGACTCGTCAGTGTCTGGAAACACAAAACACTGAAAATCCAGTGTTCTACAAAATAAAACACTGATCCATCAGGGTCGCTAAAAAAAAAAGGCTGATCCATCAGGGTCGCAATAAAAAACAAGGGTCAAACTTCAGGAATTCAGGGTAAAATTCCTGACATCTGAGGTCCTGGTTGCGAAGCAACTGTCAGTAGAGCTACACTGTGAGATCCCCGATCGATCCTAGGGGGGGTTACAGGCGCGGTTGCCTGGGGGGTTATGGGCGCACTGACCCGCTACTAAAAAAGCCCTTTTATCCCAATGGTCTAGTGGTTGGGATTCTGACATGGTATCAGAGCGGTCTCGGGTTCGAATCCCGGTGTATGCACATGTTGGCCGTTGCCACTGTGCTCAGTCCTGGGCCTCCCAGTGTGGGGGGGTGTCAGTAGAGCTACACTATAAGATCCCCGATCGATCCTAGGGGGGGTTACAGGCGCGGTTGCCTGGGGGGTTATGGGCGCACTGACCCGCTACTGAAACAAGCCCTTTTATCCCAATGGTCTAGTGGTTGGGATTCTGACAGCAACCTATTACGGTCGATTTGGCCAAATTTTTTCACATTTTCATATTTTATTTATTTAAAATAAAACATGAAAAAAAATATGGATGCACTAATTGTTAGTTTCGTAGCCAATGAGAAGGTATGCCTAGTTCAATTATACTAATATAATGGTAGTGATTTTTTAGACAGCTAGGTTGTTATTGCAATTTACTATATTGTGATTTATTACCTTGTAATATGCACATAATATAATGAGAAGAGTATGATGACTGATTACTGTGGATGAACTAATATGATATTAAAATATGATGTATTATAAAAATATAATATGATAAATGATATTTACTTACTACTAACAAGTCATAATGCATATTTTTATATGATAGAGATGCGTGAAAGCTAACGATCCAAAAACTATGCTACCGCATCCTCTGCCTAGCATGGGGAG